CCTCCAGTTGGGCAAGACAGCACGTGTTCTGGTGAAAACGCTTTGCCACGCACATTCCATTGGCAGGCCTGGAGGGGCCCAGCCATAATGTAGGCACAGGGCGTCCCAGAATGCCTGCTTGTGTAGGTTGAAACCATACTGTCGAAGGGGCCGACATGTCAACCAGCTGGAGACGCCCTTTTCGGTCACGAGGTGCAAGGTGCGTTCTGCAGTGCTGGTGGCGGTGGCAATGACCGGGGCAACAGCTTCCTTTGCCAGGCGCTGTGACTGGGAAACAATCTCTGCCTTGGCTGTGATGGCGGCAGCCGGGACGCCTTCTGCGGACGGATTTTGTCGGAGGATCTTCTGCACGAGAGACTTGGTGATCTGCATGGAGTCCTGGAGCCGGGAGGCAAGGGAGGGTGGGTTGACAATCCCCAGCCCTCCACCCCTCTACGGTTGGGCCAGCATGACACGGCGTAACGCTCGAAGGGATGTGGTCGGTGATAGCAGGGATCAATTTGCTACGGATTTTTTCCTCCAGGGGTGCAAGCAGGTACGCCGTATTTGACACTGTCCGGGCGACAAAGGACCACTTGCGGTGAACTCTCTGGCCGAAGGCAGCAAATGCCGCTTGTGATTGGGTGCGGGCAAACAGAATGTTGGTTTTCACTCACATAGCAACCGGTTTGTACATGGGGTAGTGGTCTACCAGAATGTACTCACAGAATGTACTCACAGTGGTCTACCAGCATGTACTCACAGAATGTACTCAGTATACCGTAACACCACACTCCCAGCCACACACTAGCCAAAAACTAGGCTAGAAGTAATAAAGAGCAAGGCGGCCAGCAAGAGATATGTCAGTGCAAGACACGAGCAGAGCAATGTCATGGTGTGGGTGACTGGGCAGTGGGGGAGCGCCTGAAAATCCGACTCCCTAAATTTCCAGCCACGACCGCTCAACCGGGCTGGGGGAAAAACTCGCCTTGCGGCCAAAAAAACCTTCTACTAATATGGGACCTGCCCCACTGCCAGTCACACCCAAAAAACCGAAGAGAAACAAGCAGAGAGGAGTAATCATGCAACCAAAAAACGCCGAGACCCTCGGGACAGAAACACACAAAACAAAGCATGCCATGGAAAACCAGTAAAACAGCACCCAATAGAAGCCCAAAAACGTACGGGACCCAAGGGAGGGAGGGCGGAAAAACTCCACGCTACACGAGAAATACAAGACCACGATGGCAGGTGGGGGAGAGTTGCGCAGTAGAAGAGCAGCAGTGTACGACAGAAAAATGGTGAGTGAAAAATACGTTTTTAAACTCTTTCGCTACGCTCAGCCGTGAAAAAACAACACGTTCCGAGGACGGCACCTAAGGTGGCGACACCCATCCGACCGAATGCCTATGCTGGAGCCCTGGAAGATTTCCCTGGCCCGATCTAAGCATTTAGGCTTCACCAAGAGTATCGGCTTTTTGGCGTTGATGAAGTAACCGTAGGATGGATCTTCTTCTTTCAGGATGGACCACCACTTGTGAAGCTTGGTGAGAGGGCTTGCTGCAGTGGAATCGTCCGCGAACCACGCTTGTACGGCCTTGCTAGAAGCTGCACGACGGATGAGAGGCACGGTGCCCAACGCATACATCGCCGTTGCGAGCGGATCTGCTTACGTAGTTTCTTCACAGGAGAGAATGGTCTCGCCACCGACGAACAACCGAGATGGGGACCGGTACGTGTTGACGATGGCGGTGGAGAATTCTGGGCACAAATGCTGGGTGCTACGAATGCATACGTTGAGATTGATACGATTGAATGCATTTTGATACCTCAGCTAGAAACACCGCCTCAGTGTCACCTTGCGCTAACGCGGACTGCACAGCGTGGATGGCTGCTTCGATGCCACTCTGTTATCCTGAACACAGTTACTTTTATAATGGCAGTAAGACTAATCCACTCGGACGTCTCTTATCCAGGCACCTTGGGACCGGGCACTGCCCGTATCTCAGATTTGCCCGTATCTCAGGTTAAAAAAGACACCGTTGACAAAAATGTGTGGATTACATAGGTTGCCAAATTCGATGCATTTTTGCCATCTGAACTCAAGCTGAAGGTGCCCGGTAGAGAGACGTGCCCATATCTGAGGCGTCCGGATAAGAGACGTTTGAGTGTATAGACACAAGACTCCATAACCCCCTATGGACTCTTGGTAGAGAGGTTGGGTGACTTGTTTCTTTCCTACGAAATGTCCGGGAGTGAATGGATCAGGTCTGGGTTAGAGATTCCGTGACGATCTCGTAGATTGGATTGGATTCGCTGGTTTAAAGGTGTACCCTCGTTATTACGACATCGGATACAAGACAAACCTCATTAGTAGACAATGATCCAAAACCCCAGGACGCCTGAAACGCATGCATGCAAGCCCGGATAGTATGATACAGTCGAATGTCACTAATCCGGCCGCCAGTTATCCGAGCACGTCGGTTATCCGACAAGCCCGGAAGTGGTAATTTTATGACTCTCAACAGTAAAATTCTATTTTTTTGTATTATTATACGGTGTAATATGCATTTACTTGAAGTAGATGTGGTCAAGTATGCTAACATGTATGTGTACATGGAGCAATTCATGAATACCGTATTATCTCTAATATAAGCACGGTCTTTTATTTTTTCAATGTACCTCTGCCCCGTGCTATTATTGGAGACGTTCCGTTATTGGAGACTGTTCCATTATTATTTCAACCTCATTTCAGAGGCTTGTTGCCATGCCAAATTCATGTCAGACACACACATTTCAGGTTTTTTTTTCGCCGGTACAGATAATGAATTTACACAGTGTGCTTATAGTGGAGACTGAGCACTTTATTTTTTGAATGCCGCCCCAAGGTGTTCTATTATTGGAGACGTGCTATTATTGGAGACTGTGCTTATAATAGAGATAATACGGTATGCATGAATATATTTGGGTATTGTGTACATAAATCAATGAAATCCAGCCATTTATGCACATAAAAATGATATCAGTTATCCAACATTTCCAGTTATCCAACATGCCTGATTCCCGAAGTGGTCGGATAAGTGACATTCGACTGTACTCGTTATCAGACAACAATTTTGTCCCCCCCCCCCCCCCTGGGTCCTCTACTGAGCATCACCAGCAATCTGCGACATCGCACCTAACAAATCTTTTTTCCCGTGATAAACCATTTCCAGCTTCACGTCACTGCAGTTGTCGAGGATTTGCCGCGCCCACGAATGAATGTGAAAATGTGTTGTTTTTTCACGGCTGAGCGTAGCGAAAGAGTGTAAAAAACGTATTTTTCACTCACCATTTTTCTGTCGTGCTCTGCTGCTCTTCCACTGCGCAACTCTCCCCCACCTGCCATCGTGGTCTTGTATTCCTCGTAGAGCGTGGAGTTTTCCCGCCCTCCCTCCCTTGGGTCCCGTACGTTGTTGGGCTTCCATTGGGTGCTGTTTTACTGGTTTTCCATGGCATACTTTGTTTTGTGTGTTTCTGTCCCGAGGGTCTCGGGGTTTTTTGGTTGTATGATTACTCCTTTCTGCTTGTTTCTCTTCGGTTTTTCTTTTGGGTGTGACTGGCAGTGGGGCAGGTCCCATATTAGTAGAAGGTTTTTTTGGCCGCAAGGCGAGTTTTTCCCCCAGCCCGGTTGAGCGGTCGTGGCTGGAAATTTAGGGAGTCGGATTTTCAGGCGCTCCCCCACTGGCCAGTCACCCACACCAGGACATTGCTCTGCTCGTGTCTTGCACTGACATATCTCTTGCTGGCCGCCTTGCTCTTTATTACTTCTGGCCTAGTTTTTGGCTAGCGTGTGGCTGCGAGTGTGGTGTGACGGAATACTGAGTACTTTCTGTGAGTACATTCTGGTAGACCACTACCCCATGTACAACCCGGTTGCTATGTGAGTGAAAAGTTTCGTGATTTTTAACGAAAAAAATAGCTTTCGAAAGTTACGTGCATCGATCGATCCGGCTGGCCAAGTGTACGTAACTACGTAACTGCTTAAAAAAGATGGTATCAATGGCGATCTAGGTTGGTTGGCTTGGGTTTGATTGATTTTTTCCAAAGTCGAATAACAAACAGGCAAGCACAAACAGACAAATGATTTGCAGATACGACTCGGATTGAGAGCCAAGGATCAAACACTTTTAAAAGTGAATAATAAAGGACCAAAGGTTTACAAGTTATCCGTTATTTGGTCCTTCATTTTTCACAAAATTAAATTTACAAAGTGTCTGAAGTCCTTACTGCAAATATTGCTCAATACCTCAAAATGGGCAGAGCGTACTACACAAGGCAGACCAACAGAGACCAAACATCTTTCTCGTTACTCCGAGTTTCGTGTTCACAAACACTCATCAGACGACGAAAAAAATGAAAAAAAATAAATTTCGAAAGAAAAGGTGTCAGCATCGACGCAATCCACACAGTCAAGTAAGCCAATTTGTTAACCGAACGTTTTCGTTCCCTGCTCATCATGGGTAAGTACAGGGAATAATGGAAAAATGTCAAAATACAGCAATTTGTAGAGCTACAGCAATAGCATAGATCGAGAACCTCACGCTATACGTGTGGAAAAAAATTTAAATTCGGCTGAAAATTAAATTAATTAATTAATTTAATGAATGGACTCGGATGGAGAGCTAAGGATTAATTTATAGAAAAGAAAAGGACCAAGGAACTACAAGTTATGCTATAATGTCCACTAACACCACCAGTTACTAAACAGCCAGCTCATTCGATAACATTGCACGACGCTGACCGACGGTACTGACGTTCATTTATATAATTGATCTTCGCATCTTTTGAGCCACACAAGTTGTGTGGAATGTTGCTGTGCGTCCTTGAATCGTGGTTTGACCGCATTGTCCAATGGTCTTGCCAGTATTGTGATCGACATGCATGAACATCCGCCAACGTCCTTCACAGCTGAGACTTTCACCTCGTGCTTATCTTGGTTGCGCTCACACCCGATAAACCCTAGTGGCAGATGCAGCGCCTAACGGTAACCTCACACAAGGCCCGAACAATAGAAATATTATGAAGGAAAAGAAGCAGGAGCCGATGGGACAGACCCAGCTCAGTCTGTGTGTGTGTATGTGTGTGTCTGTGTCTGTGTGTGGGTTTGTTTGTGTGTGTGTGTGTGTGTGTGTGTGTGTGTGTGTGTGCGTGTGTGTGTGTGTGTGTTTGTGTGTGTGTGTGTGTGTGTGTGTGTGTGTGTGTGTGTGTGTGTGTGTGTGTGTGTGTGTGTGTGTGTGTGTGTGTGCATGCGGGTGGTGTAATCCAAGCACAAGTTGCTATGCATAGAACCATCAGTTGCCTGATGATCGAAGTAATACGCGAAACTCAGAGTTGTGACAAAGCTTCCTATCTCTCTAGTATGTCTACCATACATGTAGCTTGTTCACTATCATCACTTCAGCAATGGGCATGTGGCAGTGGAATGTGGCAGTGAGAGAGATAGTGTGACTTGAATTTCAAAGTTGAAAAGAGCTGTTCTAAATCCTATACTCATTGTTCGTGGTTCAAATGCCAAAAATTCGCTGCCCTGTCATTAAGCATTTGTGCTCGTTTGGATTAGCGAATTCAAGTGAAGTATACAAACAAACAAACAAAACTGGATTGTCGGCTTATCATCAGGTGCCCTGCCCCTTGGCCTGCAGTCATGGCAACCGCACTCAGCTGCTACCGTAGTGCCAAGCATTGGTCTACTGAAACCATTGTAATGACAGCAAGTAAAGCTGGTAAGGAAAATCGGATAACCTATCGCTAGTTTCTACGTTCTATCGTATTGCTTCTGTAGTCTTAGAAGCGATTGCGACTACATAATTTGAAAGGCAGGGAAATGCTGTAGTACTTGCACCCCATCTGCATACTGTACATCTGCGTACTGTACCGGGGCGCTGGGCACACCTTGATACTGTGCAGTGGTGATGGGAGATCCTCCACACTGTGCTGAGACGCTGTGCATTCCTACACACGGCAGCATGGTGATGGTAGGTCCTTTAAACTGTGGCAGTGGTGATGGGAGCATTCCTACGTGACACTGTTCCGGGGCGCTGGGCACATCTTCGCACTGTGCCGTGGTGATGGAAGGTTGTACACACTGTGCGGTGACGATGGGCATACCCACACTCTGTACTGGGACACTGGGCATTCCTACACTCTGTACTGGGACGCTGGGCATTCCTTCGCACTGTGCCAAGGTGATGGGTGTTTCTTCACACTGTACTGGTGCGCTGGGCATTAATCCAAACTGTACTGGGACGCTGGGCATATCAGTAAGCTGTACTGGTGTGCTGGGCATTGCCACACACTGTATCGAGGCGCTGGGAGTGCCTTGACATGGAACCGGGGCGTTGGGCATTCCTCCATACTGAACTGGGGTGCTGGGCATTCCTCCGCACTGCACTTGGGTGCTCAGCATACCTCCACACCGCATCATGGCATGGAACAGCTGGGCCTTGGTCCAGGTATTGCACACGGAGGACAGGGATTCAAGGTACGGCCCTAAGCTGGAGTATGCCGTCTGCAGGTGACTTCGGCGCTTCTGCATCGACTGGCGTGCGTCAGCACAGACGGTTCCGTAGTAGTCCAAGCACGCACCGAAGTATTCGTCCACGTTTATCTGCAGGGTGCCCTTGATATACAACCTCAACGCGGAATGGCGCCTAGCAACGTTGGCGGCTAATTGAATCCGCACGTCCGCTTCGAGTCTAGACGAAAGATGGTCGTTGTGTGCTCTGGTGCGCATGATCCCCCCAAACGCTAACAAGCAATTCCGTAAATGCGGCTCTTGCTGTTTCAGGTCATGGTAGGAGTCAGCCAATTGACTCAGCCTCCGGCAATGAGACTGATACGGCAGATACCTCACCAGGTCGGGGGTCACTTGTAAAAGATTGCTGAGCAGCGCAGTCTGAAAGGCTTCGATGGATCCGTACTTGCGAATCGATATCTCCGCCAACTCGTGCAGCCGATACCGGTGGTTGCCGAGCTGGAACGTCGGGCCTTTGTACTGCTTCCGGATTTCCGCTGCCGTCAGGTTGGGCAGCGCTCTTCTGGCCACCTGTGCTGTGACGAAGTTTCCCAGCTCACTAGGGTGGCACAGCAGCAGGAAACCACTGTTCGACGATCGGAGGTGATATTGCGTTGGCTCCGGGAAGCTTAGCGCACTGTTGCCACTATAGGGTAGTAGGGGGAGGCTGGCCAGTTGTGTACCGCTGATCTGGGTCATCTGTGCGCAGATGTTCGGAATACCGTCTTGCTTGAGCAGGGAGTAGACGGAAGAGCACTTGAGGAGCTCCAGACCGGCGATCGTGTGTGCAATGTAGAGACCTTTGCACACGCTGATGTAGGACACGTCCAGGTTCGGGCTGATGCGGTAGCGACGCTGTTCACACATTTATACGCGGGACACAAACAAACACGTCTAAATATGGCCTACACCAACAAGATAGGACACGCAGTGTCTGTGAAGAACAGCTCCCAGCCCCCATGAGTTACACCGCATCTCGACCCAGAAGAAACTGCTTGGCTTGCTAGTAATCTGCCTAGGATGAGTACAGTCAGACATCGCTTATCCGGTCCTCTTTTATCCGGATCCCTCTCCATTCAGAAGAAAAACGCTGGTTACCGATTTACAGCATATGCCATTGATACATACAGTATGTGTGTTCGATTATCCGATTCCCTCGCCTATCCAGATATTTGTTTAAGCTACGTCTGACTGTAATAAGGCTATGATAGTTTGGTCGGATCCGGATCCAGATCCAGACGTCAGATCCGTCAGATCCTTCAGAATCAACCGATCACCTTTTTTGGGACCTTGGTTGTTGCCATGTTGACGAAGTAAAAAATGGCGCTGACAGGCCACCCTAAAGGGCAAAAGACATACTGATCGTGCGCGTCGTACGAAAAGTCAACAAAAGTTGACTAGACGTACCACGATGAGTACGAAAATGATTTTTACCCGTCATATACGCACAAATGTCACGTTTGGATCCGATTGATCCAGTCAACCCTTGCTCGGATCCAAATCCGAAGGATCTGGATCCGGATTCGGATCCAAATCCGAAGGATCTGGATCCGGATTCGACCAATCAATCACTGCAGATCCAGTGGATCCTCTGGATCTGGATCTGGGTCCGACCAAACGATCACGGCCTAACTACAGTTGTTTTACAAAACAATTGATCTCTACCTAGCCTTTCGCAAATCCGATTTAAGCAGAGTCAGGCACAAAACCAAATTTTAATTCGGCCAGAATAGGGTTTCTGACCAGCATATCTGTACAATGATTAATGCTTAACCGGCTGAAATACTCAAACCCGGCCAGGAATTTAACTTAGTTATGGTTCACGTTTGGGCTATAAACATCAAAATCATACTGCATGTAGTTGTACTGTTTTGAGTTGTTTTTCTTCTCTCTTTTTCTTTCCCTACTACCGTACTGGCAATATATGTTGCCGCAGTGAGGCCATGAAGCGTTACATTGGCACATGTTTGCCGCACGCAGGGCGTTACATGCAAAGTCGCACAGGAGCCGTTACACAGGTTTCTATATTGCCGCAGTCCTTTTTTTGCCACGCGGTACACGTGCTTTCACAGTTTTCAGCCTTTGCAGTGCAAACTGCAATGAAAAGATCGCCGCACCCCGCCTGACGCGCGTTACGAACGCAACGAAAATTTGTCGCACTAGCCTGGTCGCGCGTTACGCCGCACCCCCTGCGTTACGCGTTACGCGGCAACATATATTGCCAGTACGGTAGTTGCTGTTACACTCACTGATCCCTATGCACAGATATACAGCATTCCCTCACTAGTGGGACCACTGTTATCAGGCTAGGGCCTGTTTTGGACTTCCCACTCTAAATAAAGAATACAAACAACAAACAAAACAAACAATGTAGTACTGTAAAACCGGAAAATTTCGGTGAAGATTTATTTTCGGTAACTTTGGTACAGGTAATTTTTACCTAAAATAAAACGCAACATATTAAAAATTCAAAAAGCCATGCCACACAGTGTGAAAAATGCATTTTCGGATCTGGAAAACGGGTTTACTGAGATTTTCGCGCTACCGAACCGTTGATTTTGGGAAATACCGAAAATATTACACCGCCAAAAATTCCCGGTTTTGCAGTATTTGGAAGAGCATCCCAAACTGCATGGTGAAAAACAGTTCTGAAAAAGGTCAACCATTGACCTATTTATAGTCAGAAACAAGGTGATCCTGTTTTTCAGAAGGGACTATAGCAGTACCCATGACAACTTTGAAGTGCACTGAATACTGCGGAGATACTCAACTGACAGATTTGACGATTACTGGCAACATTCAAATACTCTGAAGCTTCAGTCAACAATACACCTCCAGGGGACCTGAGAACCTGGACAGTCCAAATAACTAGCAGGGCAGGGTTGGGCCTTTTTCTCTTTCTTAAAATTTTAAAAAAAGAAAAGAAATCTGTACCTTATTTCCCCGAATATAAGTCGCACCTTTTTACACCTAATTTCAGGGCAAACAAAGGTTCGACCTGCAATCGAGCATGATTTACTACTGAAGTGAATCCATTGAAACGATGTGACATGGATCTGGAAATGGGTGTGCGACTCACAAACAGGGAAATACGGTACTTTCTAGCTGACGTACTGTAAATCCGAAGTAATCGGACTGGACAATGCATGCAGCAGACTCGAAAAAGGCACTTGCTGTCCAATGGCAATGCAAAGAGAGTACTAGTATGGTTCAACCAGGGTAGTTTACAACTTCACACAAAGGCTCATGCGTAGGAATGTTTTTTTAAGTAGTTTGAGAAAAATTGCACTGCAAAGCGTTCGGCTAATCTCTTGGCATTCACACAGGTCTTAGCTGATAGTCCCATTGCATTAAAAAAAATTCCCAGATGCCATCCTAATATCCATACGGCATCAAGTGCTCACCACACAAAGCAGCTTGAATGTTTCCTCGGTCATGAGCAGCCTGTATAGCCGTCGCGACGCCATGCACGTACGGAGAATGTCGGTGACGGACAGCATAGGTAGTAGAACTGAGTGCCACACGTCGTAGCAAATCGATTCCAGTGAGAGTTCAACCACTGAGCACCGGTCCGCTGCCCGATGATGCTCTGGGACGACATTATTCGGTGAATGTGGCACGTGCGAGGGCTGAAGAAACTTGATACACGCCGCAGGAGAACACAGAGGAGAATATAGGTATGCAGGATTCGCCTGTACATGGTCCTCGGCAAACCACCTGAAACAAGGTGCCACTGAATATTGGGCGATCTCGGCAGTTTCCAGCACATATTCTCTTAACGGCCTGGTATGGTGAGTTTGTTGGTCGGGCCGTGGCAGAGGAGGGTATGGCCGAGTTTTGTCTCTTGAGAAATTTCTCTGGCTGGGTCTGCACATGGGGAGCAACAGCGCACAGATATGTTATATATATGATATTCGTTCCAAATTTTACTCTCAAATGGCTGTGAAATTTCAGTGATCTTGAAGTAGACTCGGAAGTAGTTCGTATACTGAGCCAGTAATAAATTTACTTCAGTAAAAAAAGAGAAGAAATACATGAGAATGAGTTATGCAGCAACTATCCACGACTGTAACAAGATGATAAACAGTCAGAAAGTGCGATAATAGGGCACAAAACTGACAAGCTACTGAGACATTCAGCGACCCGAGACCTAGCTCTAACACATCTCCAGTGCGCAAACCAACAACCTTCCAACTTGGAAGGTTCATGGTTACGTAGGACTGTGATGTATGTGCACAATATCTGTATCAGGTCACGTGTGGAGATTACCTTGGGGGAACCTCTACCGTACATGTTCTAGATCTGAGTTGGGAGCTAGGTCACAGTAGGTGGCCGTTTTGGTAATGACGGATCATTGTTGTTTTAGTTTTACTTGGTGACAACTCAAGTTAGATCTCTCCAACAGTCGTTTGTTGATGTGAGCTCGAACGAACATAACAAGGACCGAAGAGGGCAGATCTTGTTTAGCCTTGCCAATTGAACGTTTGTATTATGCATAGCATGCGATATGCACTCTTTTCTGACACGAAACCCTGAACGCTAAATCGCTGTCAAGTTTTTACCCGACAAAAAATGGCCGTCCTACAGCACGGTGTACTAGTATCTAAATAGCCGTCCTACAGCACAGAGTACTAGTACTTGGCGAAAGGGGAAGTATGACATAGAAAGGCTAAAATTAATATAATAATAGTGAAAAAGGAGGACAAAATGTTACGAGCTATGACTAACTGTCCACCAACGTAACCAGATCTTATACAGTCAGCGAGTGCGTACGAGAAGTCCATCGAGCCTTCGACTCGGCAAACCTGCAAGAAAGCACCACTCCCTGCTCAATACACAGTCAGTGTTTTATTTCGGGGAATTCACCCCTCATCAGTTGAGCTTGAGTAGGCCGAGGAAGATTGTGCCTGAAGAGCACCACTTATAATAGTGCTCTCCAGGCACAAAAATCACCAGGGATACAAACTTACAGAGACGCTCCGTTTCCAGCGCGACAAACACCTCGTGAACACCAGATAGCTGCGTGAGTCAGTGTCGCTCCTGGACGGTGAGAACAGACGTAGAGGACCCTCGGTCATTCCCAAAGCGGTTCGATGCACTTCTCGTGTTCTCTGGATGGCAGTCGTGAGTCAGTCAAGTGTCAAGTCAAGTCAGCGGAATAGCGCGAGCTCTAGTGTGGGAGCAAGCCCATTCCTAAACAAAATCATCGCCGAAGTCGCAACCTCTATTTCATACTGTTGTGCCCAGCGCGGGCTTGCGACTAGCTGGTTTGGAGGTGACAGCGTTGTGAATTACCGAGGGTCCTCTACGTCTGTTCTCATCGTCCAGGAGCGACACTGACTCACGCAGCTATCTGGTGTTCACGACGTGTTTGTCGCGCTGGAAACGGAGCGTCTTTGTAAGTTTGTATCCCTGGCGATGTTTGTGCCTGGAGAGCACTATATAAGTGGTGCTCTTCAGGCACAATCTTCCTCAGCCTACTCAACCTCAACTGATGAGGGGTGAATTCCCCGAAACACTGACTGTGTATTGAGCACGGAGTGGTGCTTTCTTGCAGGTTTGCCGAGTCGAAGGTTCGATGGACTTCTCGTGTTCTCTGGATGGCAGTCGTGAGTCAGTCAAGGGTCCAGTCAAGTCGGCGGAATAGCACGAGCTCCAGTGTGGGAGCAAACCCATTCCTAAAATTAATAATAATAATAATTATTATTATCTAAACAAACGACGAGGAGACAATAATTTGATAACCGCAATTCATATAATGAGCTGAACCGACATTTGTGTACTTTTATAATTATTATGAAATGACCCAAAGGCAATGTGCCTATCGAGGGGTTCATTTGATTGAAAGAACAGTACTACTACTAGTATGTACAGGGCTTGATGAGGAGAGAAACGGGGAAAACCAACTGCAAGGTGGCGGAACTCCGTAAATTGCATAAGCATGGTTAGCTGTAAATTTCCTGAGGGCAGCTTTGAACTTATAGAGCGAGGATTCCGATGTTAGACTGGGGGGGGGGGGGGGGGGGGGGGTAAACAGTTCCATAGAATAGCAGTTCGGAACATGAAGAGAGACTTAGACAATGATTTAAATTTGGGAAGAATGATTTTATTATGTAGTGGTCTGGGCGCTGAGTCAAATGTTGTCGGCTTGGGAAAGCTAAGACGCTCCCTTCGGTACAATCGAACTTGCCCACTTCCATTATAACTATAGGATGATGTTCTCGGCGCACAGGAGTAACGATGATCCCGAGACCTTTGGTCGGAGGAGTTACTTTTGCCCCGCCCCCACTTCCATCCAATATGCCACCGCCCCCGCTGTGCAGCATCTGATGGTTCTGTGGTATTCAGTAGAAAAGAAAAAAAAAGAACATGCCCTACTAGAGTAAAGCCTGTCTAAGACGACCACTCAAAGGACCTTCAAAAAACGTTATTAAGTTTTCTTCCGATAAATTATGTTCACTGGTTTGAGGGAAAGACACAAACGGGAATAAATTATGTTCTTTCTTCTTTCTTTATCCCTCTCTTGCCATGGCTGGCTAACGCCCCGTCCTTTGCATTGGCTTCTGCCATTGGACGGTGAAATGAAGTAAAATACAATAAAACGTGATCTCTGTTACATGTACCAGGTGGTCTCCTTATCCAGGGTCACTTCACCGGAAAAAGCATCCCTTGGTCATGGTTTCAGGTGGTCGCCTTATCCGAGTGGTTGCCTTGACAAGTTTTACTTTTGCCAGGTGGTCTCCTTATCTAAGGTCATTTGATTGGAAATAGCACCCCTTCTCTCAGTGGCCTTCTAGGACACGCTGTCGTCTTATCCGAGTGGTAACCTTGACAGATTTTACTGTGCTGTAATCTTCGTACTAACAGTTATCGGGATTTGTGCAGAGAGTTTCACTGAAAGCGCCACTTAGCTCTTATAGAACTACGAATTAAGATGAGGCTGCCGAACGTGTCGTGCGAATGAATTATTGGCCGAGGAGGCTGCGACACAGTGTTCGGCCCGTATTCCCCACTCGAGCGTGGTCCTGTTGCGATGCGTACAACATAGGGTGAGACCAGTATTTTCCTGAACTTGCAGGTTCGGATAATTTACTTTTTCAGTTTAAATTTTTTTTAAATTGCTGTATTAAAATTGGACGGGAAGTATTCATGTAATATTTCTCTTTTAATTTTGCATGCTTCACACTCTCATCTCATATTTCTTTCTTTTCTTCGTCATTTTGTGAGAGCTTGGACAATCCACTTGTCTAGGCAAGAAGGCAGCAATGCCTGTTCACTCTGGCGAAGTTGTGATTTGCTTTCAAGCAATGTGCATAATCAGTAAATTGATGTTGATGTTGCTGTTTTTTGTTTTTTTGGTTTTTTGGTTTCTCGTTCTCAGGGCCTTCTATTCGGTACTCTTTGTAGTTATACTTCTGTACTGTTGAGCTATCCGAATTCAAATAAAAACAAAAAAAAAGTAAATAGAATACTAGTATACCAACCAACCAACCTACAATTTAGTGATGGATCCAAGTACTTCCTTTGAGAAACTTGCAGGATAATCTATAGTGATCCATGTGTGCAATAATGCAGCCGCTAATGTTCAGATTTGGCAATTAAAAAATTAAAAAAATTAAAAATTCGAGGGTTCTCGTACCGGGCAGGTCAAGAACAAGGAGTCCTACAACTCCCTGGTCAAGAACCACCTTTCATTTCGTCAGGCGAAATTACTGGTCAGTCGGTGACACGCATTTTCACAAAAATTTGCGTTTCACCTGCTGGGAGAGTATGCGTGTACTCGAGTCTCATCCTGAGCACTTTTTTTCTTCTTTTTTCAGCTCCAGTATAGCTGTATTTTTCATTGCAAAGCCGTCCTCGATTGTTGTGTTCGTTGTTCAAACGAAGTGGACATTCAATCATGAAGGCAGAGGACATAGGAGCCTGATTGGAGTTTCTCGTGGCATAGGACGGCCACACAGAGACACTTTGGGATTTTCTGAATATAAAATACCGTACGCACGATGCTGAGATCAATTTGTGCGATATCAAATTGTTTGTGGTCTACCACATCGAGCAGAACGGGATCCAAACACAAGCTTACCGACGGTTAGGCTGCCGACCTGACTGGACAAATGATCCCTGGCTTCACCAGACGCCAGAAGTCGGACACCATGTCCTTTGCCGCGACGTCCATCTCCAAAAAGAACTCCATCTTCGTCGTGAAAAGGTTTGAAATACTCAATATTCAACCGAGATTCTTTCTCGGATCGATTAATTTCCTGTTGGGACAGTTGCAGGGCAGCTTCCCGCCACTGTTTCAACAGGCGATGGCTCCAAAGCATGCCTGGAACAAGCCATGTCGAGGTTGCAAGCCACCCCTCTCAGCAAAAAATTCGAAGAAATTCGAAATTTCAATGAAGGGAATTTCAAAAAGTATGTTTCGCGGAGCGATCGCTCAACCTACGTCATTCAAACTTTGCACAATGGTTCAGACGTACATGCTAGGCATGGAACCACAGGCGATGATGCCATAGCTGACACACAGAGTAACACACACAGCAGATTCGTGTGCACAGATACTAAATTAGTGGACGTCGTCATCTTCTTCCCGCTGATCTCGAATGTACTATGACGTGCTATTTCGCCTGACGTGGCTATGGAGACGAAATTGATTACACAGACATAGCGACTTGCATGTCCGACTAAACATGAATACACCTGTAGAGTGGTGTGGGTCCCTTGTTTTCAATTGTGTCACAAAAAAAACCTCGCGAGAAAAATACCTTTTCTTCGGTGTAAATGTCACATCCATCCTGTAGCGCATGGTACGTGCTTTCTGTCCCTGCATCACCTTACACCCTCTAACAACACAAACACACACATACACATGCACACACACATACACACACACACACGCACACACACACACACACACACACACACACACACACACACACACACACACACACCTCAGACCTGCCCATCGCGGAAGCGATGATAGCGAACAGCTATGTTAGACATAGCAACTTGTGGTGGGATTACACCATTCAACAGCTTGCAAGGCTGATGAATTGACCACCACTATTTTTAGCCTGGTATCCACCACACAGCTGATTGAAGTGACTTTTTCTGGCCAGTGACCCCCCCCCCCCCACACACACACTATTGGCATTTTTACTGTTGAAACTCTACAGATGCCCATTTCACCTATCAGGCCCGTCTTGGCATTCTATCTGACATACAGAATGCCAGAGGCCTGAGAAGTTTTGTCATACACCTAAAATTACATGTAGCAGAGAAATTGGTGATTCCCAGAATAGCTTGATTTTGTATTGATAACTTTTAGCCAGTTGAGAGTAATATCCATTCTTACTTTCATAATCATTATTATCATTGCACTACAAAAAAGACAAAAAAAACTACAGTCCACAGCACAATGTGCTATGAACGTAGATTATCTGGACACAGACTATCCGGACGATCGATTCGAATATCCGAATGGCTGGGACGCTGCTAGCATGCCCATCGATACAGGGTACAGCTACTAGGACATGATCATGTACGCATTCTCGATGATGAAAATGCAGCGCATGCATGCACGAGCCCTATACTGCACGCGTATCTGTGATTTTTTTCACTATCCGAACATTTCCCTCGTTCAAACCCCTTCTGAACGGGGTGTGCCCGACGGGCTGGGATAATTGATACTCTACTATAGTAGTACGTGTAACTACAGTCCTGGCCAAAGAAATCCGACCGGCGAGTCGAAAGTAGCACCGCAATATGCTGGTACAAGAGCCTATCCAGGGCCCACAGACCCCCGCATGAGCCCGGGCACTGCTTTCGGCGCATGGGTCAGGTCTCTTTGACCTCGACTACTGTACCTGTAACATAGGTAGTACCACTACATGTACATCTTACTTTTGCCAGATCCAGAGCAGGAGGAGTAGAAAGCAGACAGCACATGACCCCATGGCCCACTGCACCTCCTCACTCAGCCACTGACACTGGCTCCAGACAGCAACAGAGGAGGCCCATGCTCTTCATCTGGCAGCAGCATCT